GCTCCAAAGGAATATTCGAGAAGACTTCCCGGCGCCCCGGCCTCGGCTTCCCGCTCTCCCGCGGGGCCCAGGCGCTGGGGTGCGCCCCTTTCCGGGGCCGGAGCACGGGCCGGGCCCCCAGGGGCGGCGAGTGACGCGGGCGCTGCGCTTATGCGGCTCTCGGCAGTCAGGGCACGGCTCCCGGCGGCGCCGCCGGTCCCCGAGGCCCTCGCAGCCTCTTCCTGTCTTTCCTTGGGGCCTGGGCGCCCGCTCCCGCAGCCCCGGAGGCCTGGCCCTCCCCTGGGCTGCGTGGCGGGGGAGGGGGGGTCGGGCTCAGCGGGCCGCGGGGGAGGGGGCAGCCACTGGGCCCAGCCCAGCGGGGACACCAGGCCAGGGCCCCCGGGGTTCCAGCCAGAGCTGGGAGTCCCCAGATGCGACTCCACCCATCCTGCCGCTTACAGGTGTTTAACACCGAAGAGAGGGTCAAAAATATGTGTCCCGGTTTATTTTGCTTTTTATTTAGATTGTTTTTGCAAGTAAGACCTGTTATGAGGCCTTTTCATTTCTGATCCTTTGAAGCTTAACGTAACCCCCTGTCGAGACCCGATGAATCTTCACTTTGAGCTCCCCCCGTGAGACGGGAGACGAGGAAGCCAAGGTTTGCGGTTTCTTGCTCCTGGTGTGGATCCACCTCAGCTCGGGGCCTGTCTGCCTCAAGCCCAGCATTTTCTCATGCTTGTGAATCCTGCTTGGTGGCTCCTCTTTGATTCAATTCAGTGAGCAGTTTGGGGATCCTACAACTTTGCTCCCTGCAGTTCACCTCTTCACAGTAGACAGAGCATTTGTGTGTCTACACTGCCCAGGGTCCTCAAGTGTCACTGGTGGACCACAGGTGAGGAGAGCGAAAGGCGGACTTAACTGTGGCCACAGAGGCCCTTTGAAAGTGAGGTCAACCCCTTTCCGACAGGCTGTGTGCCTGTCATGTGGTGCAGGCTCTGGATTGATCCTGAGAAAAGGAGAATGAGAAACAGGAATGGATGGCCCCCCGGGGCAGTTAACTGTTACCTGCTGTCAGAAAAGATGGTCTAGAGGCGCCTGGGTGGCTCAGTCGTTAAGCGTCTGCCTTCAGCTCAGGTCATGGTCCCAGGGTCCTGGGATCGAGCCCCGCATCGGGCTCCCTGCTCGGCGGGAAGCCTGCTTCTCCCTCTCCCACTCCCCCTGCTTGTGTTCCTTCTCTCACTGTCTGTCAAATAAATAAAATCTTAAAAAAAAAGAAAAGAAAAGGGGCGCCTGGGTGGCTCAGTCGTTAAGCGTCTGCCTTCGGCTCAGGTCATGATCCCAGGATCCTGGGATCGAGCCCCGCATCAGGCTCCCCGCTCCGCGGGAAGCCTGCTTCTCCCTCTCCCACTCCCCCTGCTTGTGTTCCCTCTCTCGCTGTGTCTTTCTCTGTCAAATAAATAAATAAAATCTTTAAAAAAAAAAAGAAAAAGAAAAGAAAAGATGGTGTAACAGTCAGGAAATAAAGAGTATTCTGAGATTTGAGGCTTAACCTGGAGGCTTGCAACTCTTTGTTTTGTAACTATTTCAGAAACTCTTAACCTTTATAGCACCTTGGTCTGATTCCCTTAAATCCTCCTTGAGACAGGAAGTGAGGTTGTTAGTACATTAAGCGAGTAACTTTGGGAACAGGTGTGGCTTGCCCAAGGTCACAGAGTAACTCCCGGGAAAGCTGAGGCTGGTACCCAGAGCTTCCCACCCTCCCCACCGCCTTTCCATAATCTATTGAAAACCCACTGTGTGGCAAGCACCGTACCAGACTATGGCACTGAACAGAAAAATGAAGTCCTTTCTGCCCTGGGGGTCTCACTCTAGAGGCGCACAGCCATACACATGCGCAAAAGATAAACAGACAAGGAAATGAGCTGCAGGTTGTAGTAGGTGCTATTAACCCTTCAACACTGACTCGAGTTAGAAAGTAATCGAGGCGGGGCTGAGGGAGGGATGCGCCAGGTGGGCGGTCAGGGAGGTCTCCTCTTAGGAGAGGACACCGAAGCAGCCAGGTGAATCCTACGGAGGGCTGAGGGTAAGGGAGGCTTCTAGGACAAAGAAACAACACTTTCTGAGATTTCAAAGCAGGAGCGAAAGGAAGCGGATAGATTTGAGATGTATTTTCCAGGTAGGACTAATAAAGAGGGAAGTGTAGGAACGTGGGGTGTTGAAAAGGTCCATGTGACATGTGAGGTGATATATTTGACATGACAGCGCAGTAACAAGACTTTTTCTAGCCCCTGCATGTTCCAAGACGGTGGGCGTTAGGCGACACAGCTGGCCTAAACTAGGCCTGTGGCCTCCACCACAACCAAGAATCACAAGGGAGCAACAATTTGGACCCAGCTTCTCTCCAGGCCCCATGAATGGAATGAAAATGTTCCTCCTGGGTTAACCCGGGATGCTATTCTCTCTGGAAGACTCTCTTCAGCTCTTAATAAGAATAATGGCATTAGGGCGCCTGGGTGGCTCAGTCGGTTGAGCATCTGCCTTCGGCTCAGGTCATGATCCTGGAGTCCCGGGATGGAGCCCCGCGTCGGGCTCCCTGCTCAGTGGGGAGTCTGCTTCTCCCTCTGACCCCACCGCCCTCTTGTGCTCTCTCTCTCTCTAATCAATAAATAAAATCTTTTTAAAAAACAGAATAATGGCATTAACAATACAATACTGTTATTAATTAGCTTTACAGTGGTGCAGGAACTTTTCTAAAGCTCTTATGTATTACATGATTTCAGTCCTCACGACCCTACGAGGTGGGTACTAGTTAGTATCTTCCCGACATTACACTGGAAGAAAGCGAGGCACCAAGAGGTCAAGTAACCTGCCCAAGTCGTGAAGTTTTGAGCAACAGAGGCTAGATTCTGACAGGCCACTGGGCTCCGGTGTCCTCAGAGTCCATAAGGGGATGTTCCTGAAGAGCCTGGCGTCAGGTCCGGACTGTGGGAGGTCTCTCCCTGGGACGCCAAACCCCTTAGAGCACTTGGTGGGGAGAAGGCAGCCCAGAGTTTTCTTGGGCACCCTGGAGAGGAGGCGAAGAGCCTGGGGCTGGGAGAGCCGGGGGCTGAACAGATCCTGAGAGGAGCAGGGTGGCTGGCCTGGGTCCAAGGACCAGAGGGGCTCTCCGGTGGCCCAGGAGAGGGAGGCTTTAGTCCCTTCATCCCACCGGCCTGGGGTCGTGAACCGAAGTCTGCTTTCTCAGGCTGGGCTCGTTTGCTGTGGCTCCTCCAGCCCCCCAACACCAAAGCTCCCTCGCCCCCACTTCCACCCTAGGCCCGAGATGGTACCTGCCCCAGCCCCCACAAACTAGGGTCCTTGTTGGGGTAGGAATTGGGGCAGGTGGCTTTCCCCCCATCTTTGAACCCTACTGGGTCTGAACCCTGCTCTGGGTGTGTGTGTGGGGTGGGGGGTGGGAGTGTCCCCCCCAGGAGGCTAATCCTCCTGATGGGGTTCTGCACACCTGACGGTCCTCTGTCCCACCGATCCTGGGCCGGGGCCGACCCTGCTCCCTGCACACCAGCCCCTCGGGCCCCCCTCCCCACCTTCTCAGGGGACTGTGTCTGGGGACGGGCCCGCTGACCCCCAGCCTCCTCTGGGCAGCCAGAAAGATTGGGGACGGTCTCCATGAGACCCCCCCCGCCCCCATCCGTCCCTCTCCCCAGGTCCAGAGAGCCACAATCACGGTCGCAGCAGCTCCTGTCACACGGCAGCCACGCGGCTGCCAGTGACAGCCCGCAGGCCGGCACCCCTCCTCCCTAGCCGCCCCCCCAGACAGGTCCACGTGCGTCCCCAGATGCCTGAATCACTGCCTGGCGGTCGTGGGCTCCTGGGGAGTCACTGGGGAGGGGGGGTGGCGGCCACGTCGTCTCCGGGGGAGCACCTGCAGACATAAAGAGGCAGCCTGCAAAGGCAGCCCAGCACACTCCACACACTGTGCCCACCTGCACCAGGATGCCGGACACCATGCTCCCTGCCTGCTTGCTGGGCCTGCTGGCCTTCACCTCCGCCTGCTACTTCCAGAACTGCCCGCGGGGCGGCAAGAGGGACTTGTCTGACCTGGAGCTGAGACAGGTATGAACGTGGCGCAACTCGGGGCTGCCTGGAGGGGACAGAGCCCCTGGGCCGGCACTACCCTGCCGGGGCCGGGAAGGAGGGAAGTTGTTGGAAGAGGCCCGGCTTTAGGGGAAGCAGCAGGGAGGCTTGGCATGGCTGGGCAGGGGTGGCGGGGGACAGGCTGTCAGGCAGACTAGGACGGGCTGCAGGACCGCCCAGACACTACCCCCATCCAGGCAAGGGATGCAGGAGAACCTGTGCTTCTCCAGTAATGGGGCTTGGGGCCGATCAGGGAGAACTGGATAGCAGGGCCTCCTCTGTGCCCAGCCGAGCCTCACCGCCGCAGCGGGCTGTGTCATAGCCAGCATGGGAGGCCTTCCCCATCCAGCCGTCACCCTCTCCTAGCCACAGCTCCCCGGGGCCCCACACAGAAGCTGCCCATTGCTCTGAGCTCCTTCGAGTCAGAGTGCCACCTCCTGAGAGGCAGTTATGCTGGGAACCTAGCCCAATTCTCCCGCTGCTTGTCCAGTCAATTCCCTTCCCCATGTTCAAACCCTCCCAGGCCGCAGGGGGCTCAATTCCGGGCTATTGAACAAACTCGAGCGGGTCTGTGGGCAGCCCCCCCAGACTACCCTTCCCTCTGTTTGGCACCTTCCGACACCTGAGTCAGCGAGGTGCCCCGTGCCCTTCCCTGGGGCTCAGGCTCCTGCCCCCCACAGTTAGTGCCTGGACGGTGAGCCCAGGTCCGGGCCCCCAGAGGCCCACCAGCTTGTCGACTCGGGCCAGGAAACGGGAGGAGGGGCCTGGAAGTGTTCTGGGCGGGGCAGAGCCCTGTCTGCCGGGGGCGTGCGTGCTAGAGATCAAGTTTGAGTCCTGGGGGCAGGGGAGGAAGGTCTGCCTGAGGGGAAGGGTGGGCGGCTGAGAGGGGGGCGCACAGCCCGGATGGCCCCAGAGCTGAGAGGGAGGGTCTCCTCGGCGCAGCCCCGTGCGGAGCGGGCCTCCCTCAACGAAGGGGGAGGGTGCCGAGGGCTGTCACCGAGAGCCGGTCCTCAGTCACCTGAAGACCCGGGGACTCTAGTGGGCGTGCGCCCCCTCCCGCGACCGCGACCCCCGGCCTCGCTCGGCCCGCGCTCACCCCCCGCCCTCCCGCCAGTGTCTCCCCTGCGGCCCCGGGGGCAAAGGGCGCTGCTTCGGGCCCAGCATCTGCTGCGGCGACGAGCTGGGCTGCTTCGTGGGCACGGCCGAGGCGCTGCGCTGCCAGGAGGAGAACTACCTGCCGTCGCCCTGCCAGTCGGGCCACCAGCCGTGCGGGAGCGGGGGCCGCTGCGCCGCCGCCGGCATCTGCTGCAGCCCGGGTGAGCCGGGGGCCGGGGACAGGGCCGGGGACAGGGCCGGGGGCTTGGCGGGGGCGGCCCCCGGGGTCCCCGCGGGCCTGGCCGATCTGGGTCCCGCCCGCGCCGCGCTCACCCCGTGCCCGCCCCCCCTCCCCTCCGCCCGCAGAGAGCTGCGTGACCGAGCCCGAGTGCCGGGGGGGCTCCGGCTTCCACCGCCGCGCCCGCGCCAGCGACCGGAGCAACGCGACCCAGCTGGACGGGCCGACCGGCGCCTTGCTGCTGCGGCTGGTGCAGCTGGCGGGGGCGCCCGAGCCCGCGGAGCCCGCCCCGCCCGGCGTCTACTGAGCCGCTCGCTCGCCCCCCTCGTCCCCGAGCCCCCCGCAGCCTGGAAAAATAAACCTTTAAAAATGCACCCACTAGTGTCTGTCTCCGTGTCCGGGGGTGGGGAGGGGGCGCAGAGGAGACGGCGGGGCGCGGACCCCCCCCTCCCTCACCCGCCCCAGCCAGTCCGCGATCCGCAGAGGGGAAGCGTTCTTGGCTCGGCGGAGGGCTACGGGGAACTAGGGACGGCGCGACCTGGGGGGCCCTGCAGGGGCTGCGTGGATCCTCCGGCAGAGGGACAGAAGTGAAGGCGAGGAGAAGAAAAGACATTGGTGGACAAGATGGCAGGAGAAGACAGCGGAAGCCCAATGACGGAGAGAGCGCCGTTGAGAGCGTCCGAGGGGAGAGTGAGAAAGGTCGAAGGGGAGCCAAAGGGTGACCGGGGGTTCCCCTCTCCATTTACATCCCAGGAGACTGAGGCACGGCTTCAGGGACCCACCCAACTCCCCAGATTTCCAGTCTCCTGTTTCATCCAGGGCTGTGCTGTGTGTGTGCGTGTGTGTGTGTGTGTGTGTGTGTGTGTTTGGAGGCGGGAGGCAGCAAATCACCGCAGACCCCGCAGACAGAGAGCCAGGTACTATCTGTCCAGGAGGAAGTTAAGCAGCCCTTCAGCCAGAGTGGAAGACAGAGCCCACTGAGACCCTAGCTACATGCCCCCATCCGTGTAGCCACACAGATCACACACACTAACACAAACACACACCAGCAAATAATCATGAGCTGCATGCCTTGGGATCCTTGACCACAGTTACAGGTGTAGACCGTGAGATACACATTCAGAACCACAGAAGCACCCAGAGAAACACAGATACAAACAGACTCGACCATGGGTGGGTGCGCGCACACGCACACGCACACACACACACACACACGAGCACACTCACATTAGGACCTTCGACCCTTTGACACATGCAGCTTCAGGGCCGACATGCACTGCCATTTGGCCGCTGCTCCTCTGTGTCCCCATGTCCTTCTTTGTCCCTTCTATTCCTTTCCCTTTGAGCCTCACTCCCCTCCCTTCCCCCATCCCCCAGCTCCTGGCCCTCTTTTGCTTCCCTCCTTGTCCCATTACATCTTTCCCTTCCTCTCTCTCTGCCCCCTCTGTTCTCAACATCCTGTGCTTGGGCTTTCTTGCTCCAGGCCTTGGGACAAGAGGCTGCATCTTCTCCAGAATCCTCCACTGACTTAGAGGCCAGGAGGGAGGGCAGGCAGAGAAGTCACTCTGAGCCCTGCTGCCAACACTCTGCCTTAGGGCAGAGTGTCATGACTCAGCCTCCGTCAGAAGTGGCCAGGGTCCTGGTGCTAAGCCAAGGTTAGGCTCTTTTCTGGTCTTAGAGCTCCGTTTGCTGTCACCCCTGACCTGATTCAGTGCCCAGAGTGATTAAGTGTAGAGGGAGAGCAGGAGCCCTGTGGGCCTCTATCCCTGCCATGACCTCCTGCCTCTGCCCTGGTGTGGCCCACCTGGGGCCAGTCCCCAGGTCTTAGTAGGACCAGGGCAGGACCAGACCTAAGAGGAATTTAGTAACCCTTCAGGACACAGGGAGGTGGAAAGAGGCAGCTGGTTTGAATAAAAATGGATCATATGCCTAAATGTAAAACCTAAAACTCTAAAGCATCTTGAAGAAACTATGGGAGAAATCATTTATGACCTTGAGCTAGGCAAAGATTTCTTAGCTCTGACACCAAAAGGAGAATCCATAAAAGAAGAAATTTGATACGTTTGGAATTCACCAAAATTAAGAGCTTCTGCTCTTTAAAAGAATGAAGAAACAAACCATGGACAGGAAGTAAAGATTTACAGCTCACAAAGCTTATCAAGGATTGATATCCAGAATGCATAAAGGCCTCTCAAAACTCCATACTAAGAAAACAACTCAACTTTTAAAAATTTATTTTATTTTATTATTATTTTTTAAGAAAACTGAAATTGCTGCCCTTCCAAATTGTACTGGAGGTCCTCGCTAATACAGTATGACAGAAAAATCAATCGTAGTGATACATGTTCAATGATGAAGTTGATGTTGATAGTTTTCAGACTGGGGCGTTCTGGCTGGCTCAGTTGGTGGAGCATGTGACTCTTAATCTCTGGGTCGTGAGTTCAAGCCCCATGTTGGGCTTAGAGTTTACATTAAAAACAACAATTATTGCTTTCAGACTGGAACACTTTTGTCCTAAAGCTTCACACAGGGGCACCTGGGTGGCTCAGTTGGTTAAATGTCTGCCTTCGGCTCAGGTCATGATCCCAGGGTCCTGGAATCGAGCCCCGCATCAGCCTCTCTGTTCATCAGGGAGCCTGCTTCTCCCTCTCCCGCTCCCCCTGCTTGTGCTCTTTCTCTGTCAAATAAATAAGTAAATAAAATCTTTAAAAAAAAAAAAGCTTCACACAGCTGTTGTTTTACAAATTAGTATTATTTACATAATCCATATGTCCTAATTTACATCATTCTTAACAAAGTAAATTTGGGGCATCTTTTCATATCAAAGCATTTACCTTTACCACAATCTTTCTGTTTTGTAGCTTTTGTTATGAGAAATTTCAAATATATGAAAAAGTAGACCCAACAGAACAAAAGTTCCTCAGGTCCACCCCCCCCTTACCTTCAGTGATTATCAACAACATGGTTGACTGTTTCACCTCTACCCCACCCTCTCCTCCCACCCCCGAATTATCTTGACGCCAATCCCAGCTGTCATAACCATTTCAGCTGTAAACATTCCAGTGTGCATCTCAGAAGATTTCTTCTTAAAAACATGACCACACAAAGCAGCATTATTTACAATAGCCAAACTGTGGAAGCAGCCCAAATGTCCACCTATTGATGAACGGACAAAGAAGATGTGGTGTGTATATATGATGGAATATTATTCAGGCATAAAAAAGAATGAAATCTTGCCATTTGCCACAACATGGATGGAGCTAGAGAGTATAATGCTAAACGAAATAAATCACGGGGTGCCTGGGTGGCTCAGATGGTTAAGCGTCTGCCTTCGGCTCAGGTCGTGATCCCAGGGTCCTGGGATCGAGCCCCGCATCGGGCTCCCTGCTTGGTGGGGAGCCTGCTTCTCCCTCTCCCTCTACTGTTCCCCCTGCTTGTGCTCTCGCTCTCTCTATCAAATAAATAAATAAAATCTTTAAAAAAAAAAACAAAATAAATCAGAGAAAGACAAGTACCATAAATTTCACTCATATGTCGAGTTTAAGAAACAAAACAAAGGAGACAAAAAGAGACAAACCAAGGAATAGACTCTTTTTTAAAAAAAGATTTTATTTATTTATTTGAGAGAGAAAAAGAGCAGGAGCAGGGGGAGCAGAGGGAGAGGGAAAAGCAGATCCCCTGCTGAGCAGCGAGCCCGATGCGGAACTCGCTCCCAGGACCCCAGGATCATGACCTGAGCTGAAGGCAGATGCTTAACTGACTGAGCCACCCAGGGGCCCCAAGAAATAGACTCTTAAGTATAGAGAACAGATGGTAACCAGAGCGGAGGTGGGTGGGGGATGGGTGAAACAGGTGATGGGGATTAAGGAGAGCACTTGTTGATGAGCACTGGGGGTGTATGGAAGTGCTGAATCACTATTTTGTACACCTGAAACTAATATGTTAACATACTAACTGTATGCTAACTATACTGGAATTAAAATAAAAATTAATTTTAATACTATAGTAATATATTAATAACTGTATATGATAATATCATAATAATTAATTTAAAAAACATGACCGCAGACTGTTATCACACACACACAAGCTGCAAACCAAATCTCAACAATATATTAGTATCATGAAGTATTCAGGCACTATTCAAATTTCCGTAAGTGTTCTATGAGTGTACTCTTTGCAATTCATTGATACCTGAGTCTTTTTCTTAAGGCACAAAAGAGAATTTTTTAAAAAAGATGAGAGAGGGCGCCTGGGTGGCTCAGTTGGTTAAGCAACTGCCTTCGGCTCAGGTCATGATCCTGGAGTCCCGGGATCGAGTCCCACATCGGGCTCCCTGCTCGGCAGGGAGTCTACTTCTCCCTCTGACCTTCTTCCCTCTCATGCTCTCTCTCTATCTCATTCTCTCTCTCAAATAAATAAATAAAAAAAATCTTTAAAAAAAAAATAAAAAATAAAAAATAAAAAAGATGAGAGAGAGAGAGCACAAGCAGGGGAAGTGGCAGGGGGAGAGGGAGAAGCAGACTCCCCCTGAGCAGGAAGCCCGATGTGGGACTCGATCCCAGGACCCTGGGATTATGACCTGAGCAGAAGGCAAATGCTTAACAGACTGAGCCACCCAAGTGCCCCAGAAGAGAACTTTTTTTTTAAGTAAGCTCTACTCCCAACTCCCAACGTGCTGCTTGAACGCATGACCCCAAGGTCAAGATTCTCACGCTCCACCAACTGAGCCAGCCAGGTGCCCCACAAAAGAGAGTATTGATCCTCGTTGCCCTTCTACCTTTTTAAATTTTTATTTTCTTACCTTTTTATTTCCCTGAACTTCTTGTAGAGAATGGGTTCCAATCTCTTTTTATTATATTTGCTCTAAGTAGATGTAATTATCAGACAACTGTATTGTGCGCGTGTCACCTAGCATAGGCTTGCCTATTTAGTCACATTTAAAGTAATATTTTGTACTAAATTACTTTCCTTTTCTCTTACTGCTCAGACTAATAATATGTTTTTTGAAATTGCATGTAGGTGGGCATATTCTCTAGGAATTTCATTTCCAGGTAGTAGAAGGACAAAGAACAAAGCTATGCAAAGTGGGAGCTGGGAACCACCACCCTGGACAAACCCCCAAGCACTTTGGAGGGTTTTTTTTTTTTAAGATTTTATTTATTTATTTGACAAAGACAGCGAGAGAGGGAACACAAGCAAGGGGAGTGGGAGAGGGAGAAGCAGACTCCCCCCTGAGCAGGGAGCCCGATGGGGGGGCCTGGGATCCCAAGACCCTGGGATCATGACCTGAGCCGAAGGCAGATGCTTAACCACTGAGCCACCCAGGTGCCCCCACTTTGGAGGTTTGAAGGAGTCATTCCAACAAA